CCATGAGCTTTGAGTGAGGATGGAAGGATAGAGTTGGAGGGTGTGAGGAGAAGGGAGAGGTAAGAAATTGTTGTCTAAGACAATGAGAGAGTGAATGAACTTGGGAGTTATAGAAATTGCCAGGGAGCATTGGGAGACCATTTGAGATTTGTGGTCAGGAATTTAAGATGAGTTGTCAACATGGTTATGGTTACGTGTTTTTCTTCCAGAAACATTAGACTGCATGGATCTAGGAGCAGAGATGGCAGGGAGTGAATTGTTGGGCCAATGAGTCTCCAAAAAGCAAGTGAAAGGCAAGGGAATGAGGACATGTGAAAGAATATGATCATAACAATTAACCATGGAATTTAAGTTGGTTAAAAAGAGTAGTAGGAATATAAAGGCATGAAAGAGGTAAGAATAACAAAAGGAGCAGAGCAGTGGAGTGGAGATCCTAAAGGAGTCTAAGCATTTTTGTGATTGAATAGTAGACAGTAAACTGGGAAGACAGAAGGTTGTAGTCAGAGGGGGGATGCACAAAGTTGAGATTATGGAATGCTTACAATTACTGGCCTAGGGCATGGGTTGGCAAGCTTTTTCTGAAAAGTGTCAGATTGTAAATAGTCTTTTCATACCAGCCAGACCCTGTTAAAACTACTCAACTGTCATTGTAATGTATGAGCCATCATAGGCGTATCTAATGAAGGAGTGCGGCTGTGTTCCAATAAAACTTTATTTACAAACAGGTAGTGGGCCAAAACTCACCTGATGGTAAGTAGTTCACCAACTCCTGGTCTGAGGGACAAGTTTCAGGGTGTGACCGTGGTAATGAATGGCTAAGGTAGAGTGGAGCATGAGGACATTAGAAAGAAGGTCATGGGACCGAGAAACCAAGATCTAGCAGGATGGAAGTTTTGATGGGTGATCTCTGTATTTGATAAAATTGCCAGGAACTAAGGCAGGACTAGAACTGGAGAATGTGAAAAGGTGAGAGGAGCTGATGACTTTGAATAAGAGAGGAAAATGTCCTAGAGGTTGACAGATGACTGCACAAGAGAGAAGTATTAGGTGATGCCATCGAATGATATTGACATAATCAGAAACAATAAGCCAAAGCTTTTTAGGGATGAGGAAGGAAGGATGATCTGAAAATGGCTAATAGGATAAAGTTCCGTTTTCTGGGACCGGGATACTTCTCTTACATGTGTTCGAAATAACTTCTCACCAAACATAATAAGCACACCAAACAGTTGATGAACAATTGGAGTAAAAGAAATTTCGACGAGTCTCCAGCACCAGGGGCCTCAGGGAAGTAGTTACAGCCCCCCAGTTTGTAGATTCCACAGATGCTGTGATGGGGCATCCTTGCAAACACTAACCAGCCTCCACCTGGAGGCACATTTCAGCTCTCCTTGGCAGGACCAGCTTTCACACGTACCAAATATTTTTTACTGTGTCTTCACGGTAAAATGAGAATTTGGGGATAGTGGCAGACTTGTGGATACTATCTCTGCTATTATGTGTGAAAAGAAGTACCGCAGAGCCTAAAAAATCAGGTTGATGATCACTAAAGTCGAAAGAGATCAGAACATGCAAGTCGGTGCCTGAAAATGGAGATCCAAGGACTTGAAAAGCTAAATTCTCTAAAAGGGAACCGGAGGCTTTCAAAACGACTAAAATGACACCAAAGAGAGATTAACCAGCAGGCAGAGAGCTGGCAAAGTGTGTTCATGAATTATATACCGCACCAGAAGTTCTAGCAAGAGAAAAGCATAGGATTAATAATTAACTAGCAGAGTAATAATGGGCTTGTACGTTCTGCTTTTTCTCAGTGAAAGAAATCGGCCTACTTAGTCTTTCTGCCCATTGTTTGTCTCCTCATATTTATAGAAAGGAAAGTTCATAAGCCAAATCCTTTTTATAACAGTGAATCATTTCTTCCCAAAGCCTCTTCAGCATTTCTCTCATACAGTCCTCCAGATCTTCCAGGAAAAAAAAAAAAAAAAAAGCACACACACACACACACACACAAACTTGTGAGCTTGGCCTCGGGCTCCTGAGGGGTGATTTGTGCTGCACAAGAGAGCCATGGCACCCATGGCCCCTTGACGCCGATATTTGAATCCCTTCTCCACAGTGTTTTATTTATCACCATCATTATCTTCACTTCCAGTAAGTATTTGTGGTATTAAGAGCCTGTTAACACTGCCCTTAGCATCGCACATGTCTCTCTGCTCTCTGCTCTCTGCCCTCCCAGAGTGGAAAATCCTGGAAAGATACCCCAGTGCCTGAGCCCACGGTGGGCTCTGCCTCAGCACGCAGTCCATTTGCTGAAGCGCAGATAGGGATTCCTCTGAACGTTTATTGGAGGAGAAATAAAAACATGTGCAGGACATGCAGAAACCAAAACAGAAAAGTTAAATGAATGCTAAGAAAGTGCATGAATACATTTATAGGATGTATTAGTAAGTTTATTCAAAAGGGCCAAACAAATGCAGTTTTTCTGGGGGAAAAGGCACGTAAACCAGGCTGACGTTTTCCTGAAAGAGAAGGGAGGAGATAGTAAGATCTCTTTCTCGAAAAGAAAACTAAGGGGCGCCTGGGTGGCTCTGTCACTTAAGTGTCCAACTCTTGTGCGTCCAGGTCATGATCTCAGGGTCATGAGATCGAGCCCGTAGCTGGGCTTCCGTGCTGGGTGTGAAGCTTGTTTAAGATTCTCTCTCTCCCTCTCCTTCTGTCCCTCCCCTATCTACAAAAAAAAAAAAAAAAAAAAAAAAAAGAGAAGGAGAGGGAGAAGAAAAGAAAAGGAAACTGGAGGTTTTTAGCCTCTCCAGCCTCTCCAGTATACTGGTTTTCTATCACCATTTTTCTTTTTTAAATGAATTTTAATGTTTATTTATGATCTCTCACTGTAGACAAATTTGCAAAGTACAAAAGAGTAAGGAGAAGCAAAATTAAAAATCCAATAATTCAACCACTCAAAGCTAATGCTGTTCCCGTTATTTTATGTATTTTCCTCTAATTTTTCACCACACATAATACAAAAGAGAGAGATTAGTGCAATAAACTCCTGTGTATTCACATTCTAGCTTCAATAATTTTCAAGCCAGCCAAACTTGTCTCATCTCCACCCTCACTTGCACACTCTCTTCCTCCTCGTTGTATAATTTTGAAACAAATCCCAGATAGCATAGTATGATAAATGTTGTAAATATTTTAGCATATACCCCTAAGGTTGCCATGCATATTTTAATATAGTTAATATCATATGTACAAAATCAGATATACTCATTTTCATCTATGTCTGATACCAGAAAAATTTGGGAGGGCCTTTTTAAATTAACATATCATGTATTATTTGCTTCAGGGGTACAGGTCTGTGAATCATCAGTCTTACACAATTCACAGCACTCAACATAGTACATACCCTCCCCAATGTCCATCACCCAGTCACCCCATCCCTCCCTCCCAAACCCCCCTGCAACCCTCAGTTTGTTTCCTGAGATTAAGAGTCTCTTATGGTTTGTCTCCCTCCCCCGTGCCATCTTGTTTCTTTTTTTCCCCTCCCTACCCTCCATGGCCCCCCACCCAGCCTCTCAAATTCCTCATATAAGAGAGAACATATGAAAATTGTCTTTCTCTAATTGACTTATTTTGCTCAGCATAACATCCTCTAGTTCCATCCACGTCATTGCAAATGGCAAGATTTTGGGTTTTGATGGCTGCATTATATATATATATATATACCACATCTTCTTTATCCATTCATCTGTTGTTGGACATCTAGGTTCGTTCCATAGTCTGGCTATTGTGGACATTGCTGCTGTAAATATTCAGATGCACGTGTTGGGGGGGTTTAAGTGTTTATTTGAATTTCAGTTATTTAATATACACATAATATTATATTAGTTTCAAGTGTTTAAACAGTGATTCAGTGAGTTCACACCTCACCTGGTGCTCATCACAGGTGCACCCTCTATTCCCCATCACCTATTTCACCCATCCCCCAACCCCTACCCTCTGGTAACCACCAGTTTGTTCTCTATAATTAAGAGTCTGTTCAAAAAGTTATTTGTAACTGAAATTAAAAAAAAAAAAAAAAGATTTCCTTCTTGATTTTTTTTCAAACTTTTGCCACCATTACCCCAACAATGACCTGAGGGAAGGAAGATAACCTTTTAGGAGACCCAAAGCTTAAGCTATAGTCTCTCTTTAGGTAACCTCTGCTTAAATAGGATAATTTAAATGCATGTAAAGGACTTTGCCAAGTAGGAACAATGTGACTTGGTAAGATTATTACTGTTAAAAATAGCCAACCTGATTCAGTTCCTACAAGTCAGCATTTTACATACATTATAATATTACATATACATTATAGCAAGTAAGAGCCACAGCACCTCTGCAAGTGAGTGATGTTATTATTCCCATTTTGTAGAGAGGAACACTGAGGCTTGGAAAGTTTAAATAACTTACTTAAAATTGCAGAGGTAGTAAATAGTTGACCTGGGATTTTAGCAAAATCTTGTCTCATTCCAGAACATCCTCTTAGCCTCCATGCTGACTTTACATGATAAATTCAAGTTTTCTAGAGCGAAACTAATGATTTACGTAAAAATCACAGGATCATAGACCTTATTACTAGATTGTCATATTACCTAGTACAAGCCTCACCTCAATCCAAAATTAGTAAGAAGTATTCACATCGGGGTGAAATTTGGGTGAATACATTGGGACACTTAAACCACCAAGTAATTAAATTTTCCTTGTAGCTGTTATGTAGAGTATGTTTTGCCATATTTTACTCCTTTACATATTTTTTGCCATATTTTACTCCTTTTAGACACATGTAAATTGTAATATCATAGTATGCCTTACTGTAGTAACTTTAACGAAGTCCAACCCCAATTTTGCCTTTATCGGTAAACTTTCTTTGAGGTATGATCAACACTAATTTGAATAATATTCTATGGAAGTATTTTACAGAGAATGTTCTAAATTTTTACTTTCTCTTTTCCTTTCAGTCTCTGTAATACACAGATTTGTTCCAAGTACCATCAGAGGAACCTCTATGAACTTTTTGACACTATTCAATGGATTTGGTTGTTTCATGGGGGCATTGCTGGTGGAGATGGTATATGTCATCTCAGAAGGTAAAAATAGGTTCATGGTATGCTTACATATATATATTGATTTGATGACTAGAGAATTGGGAGACAAAATCTTAAAAGAAGGGCTTTGCCAGTGTAGTCTTTTTTTAATTGATCCACTTTTGCAATTAAGATAGAATTAAGATAGGAAATAGACTCTTGCTGTATTCATTAATTTCTGGGAATTGTTTTTCTTTTGATAGGAGAGGGTAATTACAGAATGTCATTTCTCATGAGACCCTGTCTGCTGTCTTTCTTTAGTGTATTTTAGAACAAATCAGTCATTATATTCTTATTAGATCTTTCAATGAGGTCATATTCAATAATGCCTCATAACTGGCAGAGATAATCTTCAGGAAAGGTAAGTCCTATGGAAATGTAGGTGAATGGGGTCTATGGATGATCTTTTTTCCCTGTGATTTTCCAGAAATCATGTCTATGCAAACCAAAAGAAACTGTGAATTGAATAGCAAATGATCTTGAAAAATTTTTCCCATAGTAATTGATCAGGAGATACACCCCATCTGAAAAATTCACATACAACAAAAATACTACTCATACGTGTGCTGATAGAAAAATCAACAGAATGACAATGATTAGATGTCATGGTGAAATGTCTCTGGCTGTATTTTAAATCCACAAGCTTTTTCCTTTATTTGTTCTAAGATGTTAACATGGCTTAAGTTTTTTTTTAAATTTACTTTTGCTTATTTTATGAAAATACTACAAGCTTGTTCTCTACTTTCAAAGGTATTTACAGTTGTGCACTTAAAATAATGTAAAGAAAGTGTTGGTTTGGGATCTCCTGTAACAAATTTAATTTACATGGTTTCAAACTATGGAAAAATTAACTTCTATGAATGAGAAACTCCTTTTAACACTATCTACATTCAAAAAATATTTATGGATTGGGACGCCTGGGTGGCTCAGTTGGTTAAGCAGCTGCCTTCGGCTCAGGTCATGATCCCAGCATCCTGGGATCGAGTCCCACATCGGGCTCCTTGCTCATCAGGGAGCCTGCTTCTCCCTCTGCCTCTGCCTGCCATTCTGTCTGCCTGTGCTCGCTCTCTCTCCCTCTCTCTCTCTGACAAATAAATAAATAAATAAATAAATAATATTTATGGATGACCACTCTGTTCCAGGGACCATGTTGGACAGTGGGGATACCATGACAAGGAAATAAACACTCCCAAATCCTCACAAAATTTCCAGGGGCATAGGGAAGAAGTAAAATTAAGAAGGATAAATTTGATGATAGGTAGAGTAGCATTCTAGGGAACAAATGTACCATCCTTGATTGATTATTAATAAGATGAATTATTGCCCTTGTCTTAGTTAACTGAGAAAGTGGAACAAGTGTGTATTGCAATACTTCCTGTGTGCCGGGTTCTGTCTTACGTGGGATTTGTGAGATATGGTTCCATCTCTCAAAGGATGAAAATTCAAACTGTCATAATAACTCTGTGAACAGCAGCAAGTTGTTGACTGCTCTGGTGGTTAGATTCTTTATGTATAAATAAGGAACAAAGCACTGGCATTAGAGTTTTATAGGATTACCAGGAAAAGTCTTACCTATATCTTTACCTAAACATCTTTTGTGTTCAGCATACGTTTATTTTCTTCAATAGTACTCAATGAAGATGTTTCTGAAATTTTGCTTTTTTTTTAAGATTTTATTTATTTGAGAGAGAGTGAGAGTGCACAAGCAGAGGGAGCAGCAGGCCCCCCACTGAGCAGGGGGCCAGATACAGGACTCTGTTCCAGGACCCTGGGATCATGACTCAAGCCAAAGGCAGACACTTAACCAACTTAGCCACCCAGGTGCCCAGAAAATTTGCTTTTAAGAATGTCTATAATCAAACCACATTTGACAAATTCTAGAAGAACTACAAGGTCAAATATTACTATCAGCTTATCTTTTATATAAATCTACTTTTTTCCTATGTATGTTTGAGGAACATACCCAGTTAGACAGAGCTTCATAAGACTGTGCTCACTTGAATCATTAGCCACAAGTTCAGAGGTTCCCCAGGACGGCCGTCTCTTCTGATAAGCTGGCTATGAATGTGGAGGTCCCCACAGACCCCCTTCGGTTTGACAATTTGCTAGAATGACTCACAGAACTCAGGAAAGCACAGTACTTATGATTACAGCTTTATGGTGGCAAAAAAATACAAGTCAGAACAAGGTCTAAGAAGGTTCCAAAAGTGAAACTTCTTTCTTGAAGGGTGCAGTGGCTAGCTGGTGCACCAGTGTGTGACAATATGCAGAATATGGCCAACCAGGGAAGCTTCCTTGAACTTCGGGTGTGGAATTTTCATTGAGGTTTAATGATGTACGCAGGATTGATAGCACCATTAGCCATGTGATTGAACATAGTCTCCGGCCTCTTTGCTCCAGAGTTGGGCTACCGCAGGGCTCAAAGCCTCAACCCTCTAATCCTGGGCTTGGTGCTCCTGGCTGGCCCTGGCCCCTTCTTGGGTCATCTCATTAGTATTAACTATCAGGTGGGGCTGGAGGGGCCCACCCTGTATAACAAAGGCATTCCAATTACTCAGGAAACTCAATGGGTTTAGTGTTTACCAAACAGGACCCAGGACAAAGGCCAGGCAAATTCTCTATTACACACAATTATTCGTGTCATCCACTTCATTGAAAACCTACATTTTTCTTGAGAATCTGAATAATATGATAGGAACTCTTACTTACATTATTGCATTTATTGCAGCAATCATATAAAGGCAATGTTATCCTTATTTTTGAAACGTAATCAAAACAGGGAAAAAAAAAAAGCAAAGTAGTCGTGTCATCACAACTAGTTACTCACAGAGATCTGACCCTTTCAGTATTCTGAAACCAACATCAATATTGCTTTTAATACACCAACAGCTATTACAAGTCACGCAGTGTGAGGGCTTTTTTAATGACAGTTGTTAGTTCTGAAAAACAACCTCCTCGGATGGGGGTCTGCATGTTGGATATTACTGATAATATTCTAAATATAATAAAAGATGGATAAACAAAAGTCTATATTATTTTGGTGGAGTTCACCAAGGACAAATGGTGAGGACATCTTAGCCACATGGTTGTGAGCGGACTGCTCTGTGAACTTGCATTCAAGAGAACACCATTTAAATTACTACTTATTATTTCAATTTACTTATTCTTTTAAAGCTTTTGTTGTTGGTGGTGGTGTTCGTGATAATACTGTGTTACATTAAGTCTTCTCTCAATAAGTTAGAATCTTTTTTTAAAATTTAAATTCAATTAGCCAACATGTAATACATCATTAGTTTCAGTTGTAGAGTTCAATAATTCATCAGTTGCATATAACATCCAGTGCTCAAAAAATATGGAAATCTTCACAAATTTGCATGTCATCCTTGCGCTGGGGCCATGCAAATCTTCTCTGTATCCTTCCAATTTTAGTATACGTGCCGCCGAAAGGGGCACCCAATAAATTAGAATCTTACAATTGGATGTTAACATCGGAGGCCATCTAGTCTAACATTGTACCCAAAACTAGATGTACACAGTGTCACCAAATACCTAGAAAATTTCTCTGCTTTACACGTAACCATGTCTGCCCATCTGCTAACAACCATGTTCCACAGAATAAGTCTAATTTTCTATCCACATACCAACTCTTCCAACATTTGCTAAGTATTCAGAGAAACAATGAGGTACAGTGTTCAAATCCAGTGAACAGTGTTCAAATCTAGTGAACAGTGTTCAAATCTAGTGAACACATCTAGATATGTGTTCCCGGTTTCTGTGCCAGTAACAACAATACAGAGTTCATCATGCTGTTATCAGGATTAAGTAATTAACACACGCAGTAAGTGCTCCATAAAGATGGCTATGGTCTAGTACTATGGCTTCTAGGATTAAACTTTATCAACCTGGTGTCTCTCTCCCTTTCTCTCTCTCTGCATGACAACAGAGATTGTGTTGACTATTTCTGTAGTTGCATTGTGCTTATGGTCATATAAAACCTGAGGCTTTTTATTTTGTTATCAGTCGCTCTCAGTTAAGTTTCACTCATCCTATCACAATTTTTTTTCTGATTAAATGCAAGACTTTATCCTTGATAAATGTGAAGCACCATCTTAAGTAACAGACATTTTTAAAAACTTGATTCGGTCACCTAGTGAATTACTAATCTTTATTGCTTTACTAGCTTTGTGTAATCTGCAAACTTAGTAAGCAAGTTCCTAGACTTCTTCCAGGTAATTGACAAAATTGGTGAATTAGGACCAAAAATAGAGCCTTGTGGAAAGTTCCCACGGACCTCACTCACTGCCAGTTATCAACTAATCTTCCCTTTTTGGATGTAATCAGCTCCCACTTCTTCTAATTGCTATCATTCAGCCCATGCTCTTCTCCACCGTTCCCTGAAAGACGTCACAAGAGACTTAGTCGTATGTTTTTCCGGGAGCAGGATATATCTGTGTTTTGATAATCCCTTTAGCCATCAGAATAGAATTCATCAAGAAAGGAAATTATGTTATTTAGAGGATTTGGTTCTTGTGACCCTAACTTGGCTCATGTGACTAATAGGGCCCCTAAAAAAGAGTGATCCTTTGACTTCCGGTAGGTCACCATCTTCCCTAAGACGGTTTCCTCTTATTTGAAAAAGGGAATGCTGCACTCCACTTTTCTCAGAGATGACTAGAGGATAGAATTAAATAGTGCATTTGATCATTTTCATACCAGAGATTCTTTTAAATAGAAAATTTAGTCATATATGATAGAGTAGCCCCTCTGGTTAAAAACAAGACCAGTCTTTTAGTCAAACAAGACCAGTTTTTTTGACAGAATCGACCAGAGCAACACCAGCACTGCAACTATGTACTTAAGCCTCCCACACGCCTCTGCATTCCATTTAGCATATAAGATATTTTAAACCTTTTAAGGATTCATGTCAGCTGAGCATGTGTGTATGTGAGTGTGTGTAAGTGTGTGTGTGTAAGTGTTGGTCTATGATTGGGAGAGATGATCGGCTCTCACAGTCTCCCAGTCTCCAAGCCGCATTAGTCATTTTTAGCACCATGATGGAGAATGGTGTGAATGCGGTAAATTCAAAAGATTTCTCAAAACTTGACTGTGCAGACAGATAACTGTTAGAGTGACATTTTCAGTACAAGTGAGAAAACTGATCCTTCTGGGATCTCTAACTCCGAGTGCTTTAAAGGAGAAGATACAAGACTAAACCCATCCTCCTACACTAATCATTTCAGGAATAGTTTCTCTAAAAGTAGCAATGCTAATATGAGGGAGTGAAAAAGTCAGTCAAACTGCTTATTTCCACTATATCCCATTAGCAACCAGATCAATTTTCTCACACATATGGGTTCAAGCTTACCTTTTGACAAAAATAACAAAACAGAATTCAGTGGAAAGTGACATCTTAGTTATGGACGTGCAGGTGATTGAAAGATCCAAAGCAAAAATGTCTAAGGGAAAAAGAATAATTGGGCAGAATCAAGAAGTGAAGGAATACATCTTCTTGTCCCTGTTAGTCCTTCCGCCTAGAGTTCAGGAAAGGAGCAAAGAATTTAGCTGTTTGATTCCCATCAAGATCATTTTAAATTAAAAATGTGATTGTTTAAATTCCTCATTTGAATATCTGTGATTATTGAGACCACGGACAGCCATGTCAGCCTGAATCACAGAGTCACTCTTGAAAGAGGAATTTACAGTTGCAGTAAACTTGAAAGAAAATATTTATACACCTGGAAAGCTATTTAACTGGATTCCATGGGTCCGTGCTTATTTTCCCAGAGATATTTCTTTCAAATTCATGCCAGTGCCTCAGGTCTAGCCTCACTTGGGTTTTGAGATGAGATTTTTAGACCTAAGTGTTGGGGCCAATTTAATGTTAAAACCTATTTAACTGGGGCGCCTGGGTGGCTCAGTGGGTTAAAGCCTCTGCCTTCGGCTCAGGTCATGATCCCAGGGTCCTGGGATCGAGCCCCACATTGGGCTCTCTGCTCAGCAGGGAGCCCGCTTCCTCCTCTCTCTCTGCCTGCTTCTCTGTGATCTCCGTCTGTCAAATAAATAAAATCTTAAAAAAAAAAAAAACACCTATTTAACTATTAGGGTCTGCTTAGCTAGAGCAACTCCATATTGCCTAGGTAGCCATATTGTTGTTTACATCCACGGACTTCATTCTGGGAATAAACGCCCCAGTAGTTCCTGGTATGGTTCCAGGTATCCATTCCGGGGTAAACACCTTAACAATAGAAGCCACGTACCTTGCGTCTGCGGTTATGCCCTATAAAACCAGCCTGTGAGATCAGGAAGGGGTCGCTCTGTTTGGAGGCGGCCCTGGCCGGTCAGTCTGACTTCTAATGCTTGGCATAGAATAAGGCTTTGCATAACTTTCACTTTGTCTCAATCTCGTTCCTTTGATAACGGACCCCAAACTAAGCCAGGACAGTGGCCTGCTGCTCCATCGTTTACCTTTAGCTAGGCCATACTCGACCTGCCTATCAACTGGATCAACTGACAGGCCCCTGCTAACTCTCGCAGGCAAATCCTGCTCGCTTCCTCAGTCAGAAGTAGATGCAGAATCTTCCGTATGAGGTCATGAATCTCAGATATAACTTATCCTACACCCCCAAACTTTGGCCCCACAGAGACCCTTGGAGCTGTACCAAAGCAGATTTCAAAATGCCCTTAGACTATGGAAAACAACTATCCACTGCTATTGGCTCACAAGAAAGAGCAGATTTTTGAGTCAGACAACCCTGAATTCAAATTCAAATCAGCCCTTAACAAGCTGTGAAATCTTGAGCCCATTACTTCTCTGAGTCTCAATATCTCTGTCTCTAAAATTGTGTCACTAAATAACTTAACTTCCAAGATTTCTATAAGGACTAGAGGAAATAGATATAAAGCATCAGGTTAATAAAAGTGCACAGAAATAATGATTTGTATTGTTGTTATTGTAAATTGATTGGGATCTCAACTTTTTCCAAGTGGGCTAAGATTATCATGGATATGATGATCTGCTGTAGCACTCTAATAACTCTTCAAAAAAGAACGTGTTCCATAAATGAGGACATAGGGTATCCTATTCAGCTTCAATTCCAGCTCTGGATTAGGATGAGATGAAATAAAGCAGTACTCTGAGATTCTTCTTGGCCTTATGGGCCCATGTCATTAGTGGAGCTTCCTTTGTATTGAAAACATACAACTCTAGATGGAATTAGATATGCATTGGTGCTCACTCTAAGAGTGCCTGGAAATAGTATCGACGTTGACACTAGAAGGATGAGTGCTATTTGGCTTGGTGAGCACAGGAGTATTTGTAGCAGAGAGTACCTATACCAAGGCCTGGGGGTAAAGAATTACTAGGCACATCAGAAGAACTAAAAAGTCAGTAACCTGAAAATAATCAGCAAATGGGAGGAAATAGCATGAAGTCAGGTTGAGGAATTAGGTGCAAAACTATGCAGGACCTTGGGCTTATAGGAATTTTTTAAAACTTGAATGCAATATGAAATCATAAAAGCACCAGGCAAGTGACATGATCTATTTGTTTTGAGATCATTGTGAATGCAGTATAATTTAGAAGGGGGAAAGAATGGTTTGGGAGAAGCATACAATTGAACTAACCCCAGCAAGTCTAGAGGAGGGATGAACTAGGGAAGAAATAGGGAGATGGAGAGAAATGAATAGATATAAGCTTGATGTTAGAGGTAGAATCACTAGTGCCTAGTGGAGTCAAGAGGTGGTAGGATACAGGAGAGAGGAATGGTATCAAAGAAGCATCCAGATTCTGCCAAGGGCAACAGGATGGACAAAAATTTCATTTACTAAATGGAGAACACTAGAAGACAAACGGATTGGGAAATTTGTCACCTGTTCATTTTTTAACATACTAATTTTAACATACCTGTGAGACATCCAAATAGAAATATCTAGAACTCCATAAAAAGATCTGCCTTAAATACATAAATATGAGAGTCCTTGGCACAAAAATAGCATTGGAACCCGTAGAAGTGAATTAAATTACCTAGAGTAAATATTGAGAATGAGAGCAAAAAGGAGCCCAGTACTTAGATCTGAAAAGCCCCATATTAGAGTTTAGTTGGAAGAGGAATGGCCTGCCGAAGAAAGAAAAGTAGCAGCCAGAGAAGTATGCATGTATATGCATGTATTTATTTACTGAAGATAAAGGAGAGGATCGTTTCAAATAGGAAATGATAAACCAGGTAAAATCCTACTGTGAGATCAAGTAAAATGAAGAATGGAAAATATCTATAGATTTAGCAACAGTATGATCACTGAAAACTTTACCAAGAGTCATTTCAGTGGTGAGAAGGGAATGAAAACCAGTTTGGAGTGGGGTGAAGAACCTTTAGGAAGTGAGTAAATAAAGGTTACCACCTTTAAACAACTTTTTAAAGGAACTTGGAAATGAAGAAGATTTAAGAGATAAAGTG